GTTGTTTGGTTGGTCGTTGGTCGTTGGTCGTTGGTCGTTGGTCGTTGGTCGTTGGTCGTTGGTCGTTGGTCGTTGGTCGTTGGTCGTTGGTCGTTGGTCGTTGGTCGTTGTTTGTGGTTTGTTGTGGTTGTGGTTGTTGTTGTTGTTTGTTGTTGTTGTTGTTGGTTGTTGGTTGTTGGTTGTTGGTTGTTGGTTGTTGGTTGTTGGTTGTTGGTTGTTGGTTGTTGGTTGTTGGTTGTTGGTTGTTGGTTGTTGGTTGTTGGTTGTTGGTTGTTGGTTGTTGGTTGTTGGTTGCTGGTTGTTGGTTGCTGGTTGCTGGTTGTTGGTTGCTGGTTGCTGGTTGCTGGTTGCTGGTTGCTGGTTGCTGGTTGCTGGTTGCTGGTTGCTGGTTGCTGGTTGTTGGTTGTTGGTTGTTGTTGTTGTTGTTGTTGTTGGTGTTGTCGTTATTGTTTTCGTTGTTACTTGTTGTTCGCTATTGGTTAACTGCCTTGGTGACCGATGTGGCATGTGCACCCGAAAAAAAATGCTGCCCGCAGTCCAGTGTGTGGATGCGTTGACAAGGAGCAAGGGCACGGGGGAAAAGTATCGTAATAATCCACAGCCGCTTGCCTCAAGGCCGGGTCTGCCCAGTTGAATTTTTTAAAACGCATGCAACGCTTGCGCCATGGGCAAATGCCAAAGTGCGTGTGGCAATGCTTGTGGTAACTTGGCAACAAAATTTGCCTCCCATGAACGTGCCAGATGTTCTTTGAAAACGTTTTTGCTTTAAGGCCGTGAAAACTTAAGCGTTCAAACTCCAAGCATGCATGATGAAACCGCTCCGAAGGAGCAGGCGGGATGAAAAACATGTTTTTTTTGCAATTCACATTTGAGGTTTAGTATGTTTTGAGCGCTGAAACTACGAAAAAAAATGTTTGGGACATTGAAATGAAATGACAACATGTTTGATCATTTGAATCGTTTTGAACATTAAATCAAGGCCGATATGCCCTGCATCATGGTATTCGCATGATGTGGAACGCTTGCGAGAGGCCATCGTGGCATTGCTGGATCATTATCGCCTTGGGCCCATCCTTGGGGAAGGACGTGTTGTTTGTGTTTTCGCCGAACACGTGTGGGTGTGTGTGGGTGTGTGTGTGTGGGTGTGTGTGGGTGCGTGTGGGCGTGCGTGTACGCCTGAATGAAGTGTGTTTGTCTTGGGAAGATGTGTGCGGAGAACGTGTCGGGCAAACATTTGGAGAAAACGTGCAGCATCCTGTCGTTCAATGTGAGGAGCATTTGGAGTCGTTGCAGTATGCATCTTGGAAGCACTGCAGGATTCTCCTTTGCAGGATTTTCCTTTGCAGGAACATGTAACCGCCATGTCATTTCAAATTGCAATGCTTACGTGATACTATTGGAACCTCCGCTTGAAGAATTACAAGGAAATAGTGTGAACACATGTGTGTGTTTTATAAATAATGAACCATTGCAGATCTGAGGCCACGAAATTGCGACCGGATGCGAATTTGCAGTAAAGATGGTCGACAAAGTAGAGATGCCGTTCCTGATCATACAAATGGTTTAAAGGGTTTTTCCCGCCAAGAAAAAACAGGTCAAACGCCTTGTTTCCATCTTCCGTGGTTTGTTTGAGTAAATTGAATGTGTTTGGGTGTTGGTCGCTGGCAGAGGTGGACAGATTCAGTCTCAGGCTAAACGATATCAAACGTGAAGCGGAATTGCTGCAAAAAATGGAGCATCCAAACATTGCAGCTTTGCTTCATTATTGGTGTCACTTCAGCAGCTGGAACACGGATGCAGTAGGACTCAGCAGGATCTGTGTTACTGCATGTTGCTGCAACTCCAGGGCCAGGGAAATCATTTGTTTTCACACTGAACTGAGGTGAAATGTTTTGGTGTTTTTGACGACAAGTGCTTTGTGTGGCTTGATGCAACAGCCCACGTTTCATCCATTGCCCGGCAAAATTGAAGTGTCCAATCACCCCTGATTGCCGGTAGACTCGGTAGACCGGTTGATTTGGATATCAGGCTCGGATTTTTCACAGCTGTTGTTCCTAGGCCCGATAGGTTTTGAGAACCTGAGATTCAAGTCTTAACTTCTTGAAGATGTTGAAGTCGTTGTAATGTGTGAAAAACCATACTGTATCATACTGTATCTGTAAAAATTATTTGAAGTTGCAAGTTCTTCCTTGTCAACTCAGGTGCATTGTTATGAATAAACTCGATGGTGGAGACATTGTTCACGCTTTGGAGGCAGATTGTTCAGTCCTTGCAAGCACAGTGAGTGTGAACGTTCCCAGGATTTTCCCAGTCGTCATTCCCTGGCGAGGAGCGGTCAAAGCTACGGAGCTTCTTCGCCGATTATGATCTGGCCCCATCCTCAGCGAATCGACGGTTGGGCCGCGCTGAAACTCTGTGCCCTTGGAGGTTCATGTCAATAGCTTCTTGGCGAACATCACAAAGAAGGTTTGTTTCGCGAAGCTGGTTGCTGGGTTGCTGGGTTGCTGGGTTGCTGAGTTGCTGGGTTTCTTTGCCAAAGCTAGGTGCAACGCTCATCGTTCTGTGAAGTGATCCCCCATTTTGAGGACAGATGGTGTCTGCACTCGAGTATATCCACAACCAACATGTGGTGCATCGGGATGCTTGGATGCAAAATAACCAATGCGGATCAATGGATCAATGCACTGTGCACCTATGGGAGGACGCTTGCTTCATTATTTTGCTTGTGGATCTTGTGGGAATTGAAGAACTCACCATTTTGAAACTCGTTGCAGGCCATTTTGAAAGGTCAATTCGCAACGCTCAAGCTCAGGACATCAAGGGCGATAATTTCTTAATTGACCGTTCTGCGTTGACTGACCCACATTGCACCTCGGCTATGTGAAGCATGTTGAAGCTGCAGAAATGATTGCGACGTTCGCATTACCAAGGTCAAGTGGTTTTGACAGATTTCGGTAGTGCACGGGTACTGCTGCCAGGTGCCAGATAACCACAGCGTTTGAAGGAGCCACATTCAGATTTTTTCCTGTTTGAAAACTCTTGAGCTCTTGCAGCTTTGTTGTTCCTGCAAACCCGTGGCCCCTGGATTGGTAGGTGATCGACTCTCAGAAAGTTGCGGCACTCAATACTTTTGGTCCCCAGAGTTGCTTGGATTCGAGCAGGTCGAGCAGGTTGCTGTGCCATGACTGTGGGGTCGGCAATGCTCAGGTTCTACAGCTTGTCCTACACCAACAAGGTGCTGCGCCGCATTTTTCATGGCACCCTACCTACTCCAACCCTAATGCTCAGCCGCAGGTCTAGAATGGTCTAGGAGTCTAGTTCTTAACGCCTGCTTTTTTGCTGCATGGAAACAAGGTGAGATCAAAAAGTCTAGCGCCAGGTCTTTAAAAACTTGTCCTATTCCCTCGACGCTGTCTCTGCTGAGAACACGGGCAGAGAGATCAGCTCTAGGTGGATATTTGGGCCCTTGGAGTGCTCTGCTTTGGGCTGCTGACCGGCAAGTATCCCTTCAAGGCATCGGCTGGCATATACTCTAAATATCCATGATGGACGAAGCTACAGCTTCATGATCTTCATGTCATTTACCCACCCAATTTCCAGCTTGACCACAACTTGCCACTAAACCATCCATTTGGGTTCCATCGGAACTGCCAGGGTGAGACGGAGGTGAGGACCAAAGAGGCAGACAGACCAGATGCCTTGAGTCAAGGTTTTGGAGAGAAGTGCTGATGATCTGTTTACAGTATATGTGATGAAATACTGATTCAAATCATTTTCATCCTGCATTTTTGTGAAGATGAATTCATTTGAACTGCCTGGATGTTTTGCTTCAGATCTGTCCATTGGCCAACCACGTGGCACCTGGAGGTCGTTTTTCCATCTCATGTGAGTGCTGAATGTGGTCACTTTGTGGGGAGCATGTGTCTTGACGCATTGCAAGTGCTAGCAAGAATTGAGGCGACACAAGTTCAGTCCCATGACAAAGATTTAATTTCAAAGCTGAGGTTGTTGCAGTGGCAACTTGATGATTGTGATTGATGTTTTATTTTTTAAGGCAGGCATCGATTTTTTAGGCGCATGTTCCGTTTGACCCTCTGGCAACATTCACAACTGGCCTTGATTTGGGATCAAGTAATCACGAACATTTTGTGCGATCAAGCTAGCATAACACCAGAAGCACGCGCAACATCACTACATACATCACCTGGAACATCCTGGAACACTGTCACAGCAAACTAGGCCAAGTTTAGCCACCAGAGAAAAGCGATGCGATGCCCGATAATTTTGTGAATTGCATTGCTGCGCCTCGCAGCCATTAGTTTTGGCCCATGGCGGATGCTGGAGATGAGCTACCAGAGGAGCATCCACAAATGGAGGCTGGCGAAATCGAAGGCGCCGAAGCTGCCGAAGGCGAGTGGGTAGAAGGCACCGAGGAACATACCGAGCATGGCGAAATGCACGAGGATCACTTGGAAGAGGTCCCCATGGAAGAGGCCACAGCTGAAGCTGCTGGCGAAGCTGGAGGTGAAGCCGGTGAGACGGAGCACGAAGAACACGAGGGTGGCACTTCGTGGTGGACCGGAGCTGATGGTGAAGGTGAAGCTGCTGAAACTGCTGAGGCCGGAGAAGCAGCTGAGGAAGCCCACGTCGAAGGCCATGACGGTGAGGCCCATGAAACCACTGGAGCTGAGGCAATGGAAGTGGAACCACCAAATCCTGATGATCCCATGGCACCTGTCCACATCGATGTTGGCTGGGAAGCGGCTGCATGGCTGCAAGAGGAAGATGGTAGGCGCTTGAGGAAGCTGGAGCGCCTATCTGGCGGAGAGGCTGAGGTCAGTGAGGAAGGTCTGTTGAAGCTGGTGCCTCTGTCCCAGCTGGCACCACCTGGTGGTGGAGGAACAGGTCACAGCTGGTGCGACCTCTGCGCTCGCCTCCTGATTGCCTTGCGTACGGGCGAGGAGGTTGAGCTGACTCCAGCAATCCTTGAGCTGGCAGAAGTGGGCGCCGACAATGAGGGCCTGGGAACTTGCATCCTGGAGGTCCCTGGACAAGTTGAGAAGAAAGCCATTTCCGGCAAAGACGGCGCAAAGCTCCTGGACTTGTGTGATACATCTGATGTACTTGCAGTCTTTACCTGGGCAAAGGAGGTCCAACCAGACACCGAACCTTTGAGCGTCAAGGTGGGTGATGTCTTGGAGGGAAAATATGGAGACAGCTACTTCGAGGTCGAAGTCATTGATGCTCCCGAAGGTGGTGATGTCAAAGTCAAGTGGGCCTTTGATGGTTCAGAGTCGGAATTGCCAGTCTCGGACCTTCAGAAAAAGGCTGGCGCTGAATCGCCTGAGATCAAGGCGGGCGACAAAGTTGAGGCCAAATATGGTGACAAGTGGTACGAAGCTGAGGTCATCAGCAATGACGGCAAGATCAAAGTCAAGTGGGGCTTCGATGGCAGTGAGGCAGATCTGGAGGCCACTGATGTGCAACGCAAAGCCGATGCCGAAGCCTCTGGAGAGGCCGAGGCTGAGGCCTTCACGGAAGTAGTTGTGGCAGATCTGAAGGAGGGCGACAAAGTCCAAGCCAAGTACGGCGACAGCTTCCACGATGCCGAGGCGGCGGGACACAAGTGGCGTTTAAATAAGTTTTAAATAAGTTGAAGTGGTTCGTTCGCAAAATCTGAGACTGGAACTGGAACTCCACGGAGTTCCTCACCAGTGGAAATTGAAATGCAAATTGAAAATTGGAATGACCCACTCACAACAAACCATTGCTGACGAAAGACAGGTGACTCAGGTGACATGAAAATACTGAGACTGAATCCGGTTGTCGCGGCAAAATCGCTGTGGTAGATGGTGCATTGGCCTAGCGGCCTAGCGCACCATCTACAAATGGTCACAATGGATTTCATGCTTGTTTAGTTTGGATTCGATTTGAATTATTTTGCTCGATGAATGTTGAATGTTGAACGTGGATGAATGTCAGTGAATGTTGAATGTTGAGTCCAAGGAAACATGTCACAGCGGTTGCTCGCCTGCCCCGTGGCAGGTGGTTCAAGCTGCCGAGGATGGCAAAGTGAAGATCAAGTGGGGCTTCGATAGCAGCGAGGCTGAAGTAACTGGCGAGGAGCTCCGGGCCAAGGCGGGCTGAATTGCTTGAAACTGAACGACCAAAGAAGACCGAAAAATCCCCAAACTGGGTCCATTACACACCTTGACATGATTTTACATGATTTTACATGTCTTCACTATGAAAAGCGTCCTAGGTATAGCCCGACAAGAAACCTCCTTCTCCCGGTCCAGGTGGAGCCGCCACCCCCTCCACCGAGCAAGCTGCTGGTGCTGGGCCAGCGCCGTCCGCGCATGGCACTGGAGGTGAAGGTCCTGAATCGCATCGAGGGGAAGCTGCCGGGCCATGTGGCGTCGCTGGGGAAGACCACAGTGGAGGCTGGCAGCGTGGGCTTGACCGTCATGGAACTGAAGCCAGGTGGGGATGGGAAGGAAGTGACATGATTCGGAGAGAAAAGACATCACGAATGATGAATGATTCATGATATGAATGGATTGGATGATGAATCGATGATGAAGGGCGAAACATGTTGATGGGGATGAGGAAACAAGATGGGATGCAATTTGACAAAGATGTGAAGAGCTGAAGCCACTGCCATAAAAAACATGCTATGAAAGATGCACACTCGCAGACAATTATTTGGTCCAATTTCCACTGCAATTTCTAAATTGATGTCCCACCAAGCCAGTACGAATGGTTTTAGATGATGGTCTCTTGACATGTTCACACTCAGGTGGCGATGGCACCCTGGGGAAGTTCATTGGCAAACAGGGTGCCACTAAGCTGAGGATCGAGAGGATCTGCGGCAGCACCCTGGAGTACATGGGCAAAGAAACTGACACCAAGCACGCCTTTTTTGTTGGCACTACCGAGGAGCGTCAGAAAACCCAAGCCCTGATGGAGCTGCTGCAGTCAGCTGTGGACTTCCGTGTGAAGGCCACGGAGATGCCTCTAGCGATCAAAGACATCAGCAGTGTATTGCTGGTACCTGGCCATGCCTCGGCTGCTGTGACGGGCACCTTGGAACTGGCCCCACTGCAAGATAGCACTGACACCATGATCTTCGCGCTGGCCAAGCCCAACACCATTGTGCCAGTACAGAAGAAGGACTTTGCCACGGACCAAGTGGTGGAGTGCAAGTTCAAAGGCAAGGAGGGTGTTGGTTTTAGTACTTTTCATTTTATCGTCAACATGTTTCAACCATGTTTCAACAAACTGTTTCAAAGATGTTTCAGTCCTATTTGGATCTATTTGGGATCCAATGATCCACTTCCCAACGTCACGAGGCGAGTGGTTGGGCGCCAAGATCCTGGAAATCTCCAGCTGGACAGCCGACTCCGACGACGAGGACGAGACCGACGGCCGCACGCTGAAGGTGAAGTTCCTGGCCGATGGAACAGAGGCCACAGTGGCTCCGGATGGACTTTAGCCATCTTTAGCCATCTTTAGCCAGGCAGAACTTGTGGAACTTTCCCCCACTTTCCCGTCTTGGGGCAAATGGTTTGGCCGGTTGGCGGTATTTTTTTGAGACATGTTGAGAGAGAAAAAAACACAACACCTCAAGAATGGATGTCGTGTGTTTTTGTGTTTAGATTTGTAAGGAATCACTGCGGAATCACGCTTGAAAAGTGGGTTGGATCCCACCCCGCATCCAGTAAAGTGATGTAAAGTGTGTATATATATATGTGTGTGTGTGCGCGTGTGTGTATGTATAGTTACATACAGACAAATATGTGACCGCGGATGTTTTTACAGTAAGACATCACTATATACCAATAGCCATACTATCAATATTCAAAACCATCTATGGTAATAATTGTGTGTATTCATATTTGCTCCGTAGCAACCATCACTACAATAACCAGCCTATAATCTAGAATCCAAGGTCCTTCGTTTGTAACTCTACAGGCACACTCTAATCTATCTATATATATTTAATTGTCATCACTGTAGTCATGGACTCCATGGTTATGATATGTTACGATAAAATCACAATCAACAACCATCTTAGTAGCCATCACTAGAGGAGATATACATAGATAGTAACCGTACTTTTTAAGCCCAAACAAATTGTAACCAGGTAAGCATCATCATCTATAATCATCTATAATTATTTGTAATAATCTGTAATCATCGATATTGTACTCACCTACAATCCACCACCTTTGTTGTTTCCGTTAAGGTCTTAGCCTTCAACGTCCGCGAGAAGTTGACGGGACAGGAGGCCACGGAGCGCGACCAGGAGCTGTTGCGCCAGGGGCAGCGGGAGCTCTTCGTGGTGGGCAGCGATCCGGAGAAGCGACGGGAAGCGCAGCTACGCCTGGCTGCCATGTTGGAAGCCAAGAGTTCCCTGACTAGATCTGTGGTGAATGTGGCGCTTAGCCATGAGTAAAGGAGAGATGAATAGGAGCACATTTTCTTAAACATATCAATAAATAAATAAATCAACAAGTCAATCAATAAATCAATCAATAAATAGATAAATAAATAACTATTTATGGTTGTTCGGGGGATAGAAGTGGGATTATGATTTTTGAAGGGATGACTATAATAAACCGCCCATATTTTGGATGGTTCATGCCATGCCCGTCGATTTGGGGATGATTTACTATTGCTTTGCCAACATTAATATGGTAAAGTCAATGCCATAGTCACCATCTCATTCACCAACCATGACTGTGGGTCACTTTACATACCATTGCTAGGCCAATAAAACCGGTCAAACTTGGGCATGGCTTATTGTTGGGTTTACCACTGTACTCATCTGTACTCAGATTCCGACTTTGACGATCTTTTTGACTGGCATTGTTTAAAACCACAAGGTGCATTGATCATGATTTTTTGACTCGGAATTCCAGGTTCAGTGCTTGGTAGCTGCAATATCTGCAATTTTTGGCCTGCAATAAAGCATATTCCCAACGATGCGCAACCACTTTGACACAAATAATTTCATAATGGTAGTCATTCAGGTGTATATAGTGAGGGGAAAGGCGAGAGAACTTTGCGTTTTTCACCAGTGCAGTTGAAACAATGCTTTGGAGGCTGTATACCACCAGCAATGCGCCAATTGATAGTGATGGCAGAGATGATATTGACATGCATTGTCAGCTCATATCCCATTTTGAGTCCACGTGTCACGCCTCAGGTCCTGGTGCTTTCAGCGGGGAGCAGATGATGGATGGTGAGCGATTGGCAGTGACCTCCATGAGCATTGGCTCAGCCAAGTTGGAGGAGGATTTCCTCAAACGCTTGGGCGTTGCTTCCAACTGCGAAATCCTGCTGGAGGATCAGACTGCCTACTTTTCCAGTGGTTCCTCCTTTGAATGTGCACGCGCTGAGTCGTTTTTGAAGCCGTTCCTTTTGGAGGAAGCTGATGCGAAAGCTGATGCCAACAAGGTTGATGAGATTGACGGCATCAACTTCATCCTCATCGAAAGGGAGAAACAGAAGAATCTCCCTGCCAGGGTCCTGAACGATGTGGCAGACAAGTTTGGGGTTGTCGCCTTTTTTGATGATGGTTCTACCCTTGCAGGTGTTGAAGACAATGTGCGGGTCAATGTGATCTGCTGGGATGTAGAGAAGCAAACCGCTGCCCTGGATCAGTTGAAGGAACTGCAAGATGTTGAGCCCCCTCCGGAAGAGACATGGGAAAGCGACAACAAATGGAATGAAGAGCAGAAGGAGGAGGGTCAAGATGAATGGAAGAAGGACGAGTGGAACCAGGATGACGGGAAGACCAACGACTGGAAGAAGGACGAATGGAAGAAGGATGAGTGGAAGAAAGACGACTGGAAGAAGGATGATGGCAAGAGCAACGACTGGAAGAAGGACGACGGAAAGAACGACTGGAAGAAGGATGATTGGAAAAAGGACGACTGGAACAAAAAGGATGACTGGAAGAAAGATGAATGGAAAAAGGAGGAGGATTGGAAAGGCAACGACAAGAAGAGGAAGTGGGAGGAGGAAGACAAAAACGCATGGGGCAGTGAGAAGAAGTCCAAAAATGATTGGGCTGATGACAAGGGCGGGTGGGGCAAAGAGAAAGCATGGGACAAGTCTAGTGGAGGTGGCGGAGGTGGCGGAGGTGGATGGAATCAGGAGAAGACTTGGGAGAAGGACAAGTCCGGTGGTGGTGGTGGTGGGAAATGGGACAAAAGTGACAACCAGTCATGGAAGAAGGACAGTGGATCTGACTGGAAGAAGGACAGCGGATCTGACTGGAAGAAGGACAGCGGATCTGACTGGAAGAAGGACAGCGGATCTGACTGGAAGAAGGACAGCGGATCTGACTGGAAGAAGGACAGCGGATCTGACTGGAAGAAGGACAGCGGATCTGACTGGAAGAAGGACAGTGGATCCGACTGGAAAGATGACAAGAAGTCCTGGGATCAAGGAAAGAAGTGGGGCCAGGATCAGCAAGACAACAGCTGGAAAGGCGGCGGTGGGGGCAAGAAGAATGACTGGGACAGCAACCAGTCCAACCAGTCCAACGACTCCTGGGGCCAAAAGAAGCAGGAGAAGCAAGACTGGGGCCAGAAGAGTGAGACCTGGGAGGACAAGAAGGGCTGGGGCCAGAGCAACACCAGCACCAAAAGCTGGGGGGCTTCGGACAATGGCGCCAAAGCCTGGGGTAACAACCAAAACCAAAACAAGCGCCAGTGGCCTCAGGAGAACCAGGATGATGCAAAGAAATGGCGTACAGATGCTGCCCCCAGCAGTGCCCCCAGACCTGGTGCCTCCATCAGCCGCAATGCCCCATGGCGAGGTGCAGGGAACTCCAAGGCTTACGAAACAGAGCCTGAGACGCCCAAGGAAATCTTGGATAGCTTGCCTGGAGGCTACCCTGACTCCATAGATGACTGGTCAAAAATCCAGAAGAAAGTGTGGCCAAATGCTCCTCAGATACCAAAGGGTTGGATCCGGGTTTGGTCCAAACGCCATGACTGTGAGTACTACCTGCGCTTAGAAGACAACTACGCAACCTTTGAGTACGGGGAGGTCAAATGAATAGCGCCACGTGGTGTCTTCGATCTCAATGCTCATCTCAGTCTTGACCCATGCATATAAAACCCAAGCTTTAGGTCCTTGGGAGCCAAAAAGAAAACAGTGCGGCAAAGCTTTGCGAAGCTTGAAGTGTCCTCAACCGTCTCCACTGTGCAGATGTCAAGTGAAAGCAAAGGGTCAAACAACATGATTTTGTGATTGGTGGAGGTTGTTTCATGCTGAGACAGCTGCTGAGGTTAGAACGGGATGAATCTTTACGTTCTGCTGCTTCCCAGCTTGTGCATCACTCGTGGTTGAACGGCCGTGGCCCAAGCAGCAACGTTTGGCTTTACCATTGCGATTCCATTCAACAACGGTACTCGTAGGGCCAAGCTTGAAGGCAGACATCACATCTCATTATCATGAGTATGTCTGACTCCAATGCGTGTCCCGTCACAGGAACTCAGAAAAGGGAGAAGACCATGATTCATCTGAAGCTGGTCGCAAGCATTAATGTGTACCAGATGAAACCACTTGTTGTGAGGTGCAGATGTATAGTCAATTAGAGTCGGCAAAGCACATGTGCCGGTGCCGACAAACACACACCTGACAGACATACACACCAGGCACACGCGCAACGGATGTGCTCGGTGCAACGCTGTGACCCAAGGGACTCCTCGGCAGCTTTGCAATCCGATAGCTTCGTGGAGCGGGTCGACCACGGGATCAAACGCAGGCCGACGGGTCTCTCGTCAGTTTCGTAGTTGAAGGATCAGCGATCCTAGCTTTGATAGATTTTGATAGTTTCATGTACTGGTTCAGATTGGCCCACTGAAACCATGATCTTCGATCTCTTAATGTGCAACAGTTTCTCCAGTGGAGGCGACTCTCTCTGCTCGAACGAATGGAAGAAGGACACGTGCAAAAGGTCATGAGCCGAGACAAGGTCGCTGAGACACTTGATCCTGTTGAGTTTGCAGCTTGGAAGCTTCTTATCTTGGGGCTGGTGTTGGATACTTGGCCGGTGTTTCCCAATCTTCTGTGGCCAACTGCTCCAGGGAGTGGTGCGACATATCTCCTCCCAGCTGAGCCTTGCTGGCACCGGTGGATTGAAACTGATTGAGACATGAGTTGCTGGAGATTGCTGGAGATTGCTGCAGAGTGGTGGGTTTCAACCAAGGAGCTCTCATGGCGAGTTTACAATTCAAGATCGTGGCGGCATTCGTCGCTTCTACAGATGGCTTCCTCGTTCTGAGATGAGGAGACACCAGAGCCTTCGCCGTGCCCTTGATGCATTCGAGGGCTGATATCAAGCACATGAAGTTTGATTAGCGCATGGTTTTGAAAGGGGAGTCAACTAAGAGTGTCAATTCATGCGACGTACCATTTTAGATCACAAGATGTATCGGGTGCATGGCAAGTCGTTTCGCAGAACTAATAGTGAACAGATGCTATCGACCCAGGTTTCAGCCAAGCTGGGCTGATCCCACCTCACGAGATGCCGTTGGATTGCACTGGGTGCTGTTTTTCTTGGCGAAGGGTGCTAGGCCAAAGACCACCGAGAAACTGCCTTGGGGATAGCCCAGAGCCAAGGATTGAGCTTCCAAAGCTGGAGCTGCCGAAGCTTGGTCGAAAACTGCTGTCTCTAACAGGTACCAGGTAACACATGTATAAAAGGGTAAGAACATGTGCTTGAACACTCACAGCTCAAAGAAGATGCTTGTGGTCCAAGAAGACCAGTAGCGCACTGGGACAAATCCAAAAAGTTCAGACTACGGAGATGCCTTCAGTGGAAGTTCTGGAACATCTGACTTTGTGAAAAGGAAACGCCGGAAACGCCTGCAAAACAAGGCAAATTCAATTTAAAAAACACACAAAAAACACATCAAAACTTTTGAAACACATCAAAAACGCATGAAAACAGAAAAGACCAGGGAAAGCATTTTTTTTTTCGCCGAGGCTTTTCACCAAGTTCCTGGAGGAGCACAGCATCAAGACTGTTACCTGACAGAACCCAATGTTCGCCATCCAGAAATGGGTAGAAATGGGGCATTTCCATTTCCATCAATTTCCCAACTTTTGGCAAAATTGGACCATATTACCATTTGGTTATGACTAACATAGCCATGGAAAATCACCATTTGTAAGTTTGGTAAACAATCTATAAATAGGCCATCTATACCATGGCTATGTTAGTCATAACCAGATGGTAAATCATCTGCCAATCGGATTCCGCCATCCGAAGTCATCAGATCAACTGGAGCTGAAAAACCTCGACACTGAGGCGCTCTTCGGTGTAGGAGAGGCGAAACCACTGGAAGCCCTCGTTTCAGAAGTGCAAAGCGGAGCTTCACGACTGATGCCACTTGGAGTATGAAGTTTTGTTGGGGGTTTCTGATGCCACTTGGGACCCCCAAATCATCCGTTGAACTCATGGTTTTTATTGTTTTTTACGCCATTGGATTTTCAGGAAATTGGTTTTGGGGTCTTACAGAGAAACGGTTATAAGTTATAAGTATGTATAAGGGAGATGGATCATAAATCATGACAGGATTTGGGGTGGATGAAGATCCATAACCACCAGCCATAGATGTTCACCAGGGTGCAGTACGTGCTTCAGGTTGGATGCTGCCGAGCACAAGATGCTTGTTGGCACTATGGGCTGCACCTGCCACGGTTCATGGAATCAGTCATTCAAAGATAGATCAACTTTTCCAGGGATAGGCAGAGACATGAAACCTGCAGGACTCCCAAGAAATGGCAGCGGAATGGACGTAACAACGTAGTAGTTTCCATGCATCACCACATAGCAATAGCCAGTTGTTTGCCTGCAGAGCCTGCTGGATGGAATACTTTTTCTGCTCATTGCGTACCTGTCACTGGTTACATCATGCCAATGCGTTCCGCACACTAGGGCTTACCGCACAATCTCTTTCTTGAACAGAGCGGGCAAGGCAGCAAGTGAACGGCCTGCAACTGTTTTTGACTTGGTGCTCTCGTACCTACCTTTGCCTTCCATCATTGTCCCCAGACATTTTCATTGCTGAGTGCAATGTAAACCCTGCAGGGAATCCTTGCCGCCTACTACTTTCTTATTGCACGTTTGTGACTGTTCATACTGCTTCCAGATTTCCACCTAGCTTGTAGTGCCCAAGTTCTTGGAGCAAGCGCTCAAGTGCCACCTTTGCCTTTCCCAAGGAAGCTGGTGCGCGTTGTGGACGTTGTCCTTTTGAAGCTGTTTGTACTCCACCAAGTCTTGAGCCGCGGCGATGCCTTGCATTTCTTCTGTTGTTGCTGGAGACCCTTGGAACTCAGGACGAGCAGGAAAGGTTATTGGTTGACACTGAGGACCCGGGGTGGAAAAGACATCCATAGACATCCCTGGGCATGGGCACGTCTCTCTTTTCATGTCGCTTCCTCCGCCTTCTCTGTAATCTATTAATTGGATCCTGGTGCAATTAAATTAGGTCATTCTCGTTTCTGAACCAGGGGTCTAATCAGTGATTCATGTAGAGTGATACTTGATGATTCTTGGTTCCGCTACCAAATGGACAGCAGGAACAGAATGCGGATGGACGTTCGAGATCGTTTTGGCAATTGCCAGGCAGCAAAAAGGACAGTTTGAAACGTCGGAACTTAGTTGGAACAGGTCTTGGTTTGGGGAGGATGTGCCTTTTGGATCCTTTTCGCAAGAAATCATGCACGGATGTTAGTTGCCACGCTACGGTGCAAACTTGCTGCTCATTGTCCGAGGAGACCTACGAGAACGTGGCCCAAACTGCCCGCCGAGTATTGGAGGATCAGTTTGCTGGAACAGGTGAGGCTCATGAAGTGGAAATGCCTGCAATCCGGCCAGGAGACGTTGAACTTGGACCCGAGTATTGTCGCTTGGCATATGCATGGATGAATTTGCATGATTTTGGGCATGAGTTTGCATGATTTTGCATCAGGTTCCCGACGTTGTTTCGCCTGAAGCCCAAGGTGGATTTGCAGCTCCACCATGTTGGTCTACAAGAGGAGGAGCAAGGCTCACATTCGTTCCCGGGTCTTTACACTGTCTACCGCCGCCCAGCTCAACTGGAGGCTTTCGGTAGCAGTACCCAGAATTCCACTGATTGAAATTGCCATATACCTTACATATACCCTCATATACATCATATACCCCGTTTCAGAATGTTTCAGACACATTCTGTGTACTGATGCCATGGATTTTCATGACCGCCGAGGAAAAGAAGTGGTCATGGGTTTTGTGTCGTCAAAGGACAGCCCAGTAGGTCAGGTCAGCCCTGGATTTGCGGGATGCCAGTCCAGTGTCGCTCGTATACGATGAGAACATACTGAAGCTCAAAGTTATGACCGGTCCCGAGCTGATTTCCCTCCTGTTGCGTTTGCACCCCACATTTGAGTCCGGTGAAGGACCCTGCGATGCGCTTGCGTTTTGGTTTGGACACTGGCGGATTCAGCGCCACGGAACGCGGCTGCACCAGGTGGCATCGGTTTCTTGAGGAATGGGATCGCTGCGTGCAAGAATGAGATCTTAAGTATGTTGTACTACTCCTTTAGCAAGTGCCAACTTGTAGTGCTTTATCCTCTTTCTTGCATTTGTGCACTTGTCGCCCATTTCCCTTTGCTTGTGAATCTGAATGGGTCTGTCCAAAAATGCTGCGCCCCCAAATCCTATGGTCAATCATGTTTAATCACAACTAGGGACCTACCGATGTAGCCAATGTAGCGTATTAGATACTGCACCACATCACAAAGTTCCTGGAGGAAGCTGCGTTGGATCACTGAGCAGGAGGCAGAGGCAGAGGATCGTTGAAATGTGTGGAGCAGACGCGATAAAGCCGAGCATAAACCCGCAAGATGCCCCAAGAACCATTTTCTTGAAATGTTACTTTTGGGAGTTAAATGCAGATGTCAAGAGGGTAATACTTTGATTTAGTATCAATTCTTTCTGCATGAAACTCTCAGACACCTGGAAGGCCAGCAATCTCAAGCTGCAGCCGGGATCGGGATCAAACCTTATGTCCTCCTTGGTCTTCGCAGGGCTCCCAGAGATTTTTTGCGCGGCCCCCGGTTTTTCACCGCCCTGAAAAAATGCTGCAGTTGAGGCCCCTATTGGCCTCAAAGAGGGGGAGCTCACAGAGTATTTGCAAAGTGATTTGCGGGTGGACGTCCGGCGACCCAAGCAAGCAGAGAAGGCCAGAGGTTGGTGCTGAAATGATGGGATGAGGTGAGGCAATATGGCCAAAATGGTGCGAAGACATTGAAGGAGTTTTCGGAGCAGTTGATCAAAGGGGAAGTGCACATTGTCAAGGGAAAGCAGCTTGGAAAAATCTTGGGTTTGGGGCATTTGAGTTAATCGTCGAGCAATTTTTATGATGGTCTTCATCCCCACAGCTGTGGCGACTGAAGCCAAGGAATGGCGCGGGCTACGTCATTTCTGAGCGCCTTTGCTTGGAATTGAGACATGGGTCACTATGAGCCACCGTTCATTCAACACGGTCCTGCAGTTGTGACTTCTTCATAGTGCTTGAATCGAACTGTAGCCCAGCAATGCCAAGGGTGGTGAACCTGTGCATGAGCAACCAACGTGGCGATGTTCTCTTCCAAGTGAAGCAGGCAGCGAAAGGCATTGATGCTCAGGTGCTGAAAGAATAGCGAGCAATGTATCAAGCCAGGAGGGCCCTGATGGCTATGTCAATGACAAGTTGCTCCTCCCGTGTGCAAGTCGCCGTCCCGATGATGCCTGGCTCATGCGAGGTTTGCTTCTCCTCACTGGATGCAGCTCCAGAAGGGCTTCATAATTTCATAAACTGTCAGAATTGATCCTCATCGTTCCTCCATATTCTTGGCATTGAGTTCGAGTGCAGCTAATGTTCACCGGTGACATGTCCCAACTGTGGAGCTCCGAGGAGAGTACATTTCTGGTCGCCAAGCGCATCATCAGGAGTCCAAGCCCCCTGAAAGTAGACAAACTGAGAGATTCAAGAACCCAACAATTCAGAAAGAAGGTGGAAGATAGACTGAAGATGGTAGAAGAATGGAAACTCTTGGCAAACGCTCTTCCAAGCTACTAATGGACAACTACAGGTCTTTTGAAGCCTCCCAGCGAAGCAGGAAATCCTTCCTCATGAATCCAAACGACGTCGGTTTGGAGACAGAGGTGCCTGGGTCTCGTGCACTTCACCACAGGGTTCTAGGACCGTGTTTGTTGAGTTCATTTCCGTGGCACGCAGCCAGGCATATGGCTTTTTTATGCTTTTTTCATGCTTTTCACCATCTGCCCTCGCATACTTGTGCAAATATGTGTGTATATATACACACTGTATATACATACCCGATGGTGCCTGTGTGCCATATAGCGTTATACATCAGAATATGCCAAAAATATCCAAACATGTGAGATGCATGAATTGGTACACGATGTGAAACTCCTACACGGTCGTCGCCGGATTGACCCCGGAGCCCGATCCGGGAAAGCGCGTGCGCCAGGTGCGTTTGCTGCAGGAGGAGCGCAGCGCCATGGCGTATCCGGGGCTGAGTTTTGTACCTCGGATGCCTTGGATGCCTTGGATTCAGCAGTTATGAATGGCATGGCCCCAACATATCTCACGCTGTTCCAGGGGTTCGTGAATCCTGGGAAGGGTCCTTTTTGCGGGTGCTTCCGAGAACTGTGCGCATCAACTAGGATGAAAGATTGAGGTCCCGCAAACTTCTAAAGGGAACTTTAATATATGAAACTACCAAGCTTTGGTTTGCGCGGGCATGCTGGAGTCTTGGGTCTTCGCCGCTTCGGCTGCAGTTCCACAGAAGACATCGTTCTTTTTGCACAGTCATGCTGATGATCGGTTTGTGCAGCGTTGCATGGCTGCTGGGCGCATTGTTAAGAGCAAGCACCTGCCTCCCATTGCAAGATGAATGTGATGATGTTGCGCTTGAGATGGTCCAAAGAAGCGCCTCAAAATCGGGTACTCCCAATGCTGGACACGTCCTTGAATTGGAGTATTCATCCAGCCGGCTTTTGGTTCATGTGCAGGTTGGCAGTTTGCCCCCAAAACGGATGCTTCTAGACACGGGGTCCTCCACGGTGGCATTTTGCAATGTGAGTTTACCAGACAACTTGCCGGATTTGAAAAAGACCGGCTTCAATGCATGTGAGCAGTACGGCCCTTCCACTGCCAATGGCTACTTCCGAGATGGCTATGTCGGCCCCTCTTTCAAGGGGAGTTGAGGATCCGAGGCTCAACAGAGCTGCGAATTCCTGATGCCATGTTTGCAGTATTCGGTGAGGGTTCCTGTGCACCATTCCTGTGTCACAACACTCCTAGCCAGGGCATTTTTGGCGTGGCCTACCGTCAGCGCAACAAGATCTTCCCTTCCACACTGGACCTCTCCAGCGCATGCTTAAGGACGAGCAGCACCGACATTAACATACTCTGCCCAACCACCTCGGCATCCTTTGTACCACCCTTGATGCAGGATTTGCGCCAGACATCTGATGGATCAGAAATCTTTGGAATTTATTGGTCAGGGGGTGCAAGCGGGAGCATGTTTTTGGGTCCTGCAGCTGTCGGAACACAGAACTTTGATTCCTTGGCGCCACAGGCGGTGTTGTTGGATTCTGGAGCTGGAGCGTCAGGATGGTATAATGTGAATGTTTTGAAGATAGTGATTGGTGGTACGGAGTACGAGGAGATTGACTGCACGAAGCATTCTCGCGCATGCATCATCGACACTGGAACCCCTTCGTTTCTGTTGCCATCTGGGGTGTCGACGGAATTTTTGAGTGTTCCCTTCGAGAAGCCAAAGTTGGAGTTTCACCTGCAGGGTGTGAAAGGAGAAGTCGTGCTGGACTTTGATTTGACCCCTTGGCTATCTCAAGGACTGGTAGAGGTCTTGAACCCACCAGAGGCATTTTGGGATCCATTAATGGTGCTCGGATTGCCTCTGTGGTCGCGCTATTACACGATGTTCAACATAACAGGCAACACGGTGTCCTTCACACCGCACATATAAGGTACATATAGGTACATAAGCATTTATATATATATATCTATTTAGATGGCCACTTCGTTTGTAACACCAGGATTTCCAAAGCGACCTGGTGGTAGAAAGATGTAGAAAGAAAGCCCGAGAAATCCCATAACAGCCTGGGAGTGCACAAGGCAGCTGTTAAAAGCTGTTGGCGCAATGAAGGCGAAGGAAAAGGTGCAAGAACCAAGCAAAAACATGAGTTGTCTCACTTCCCGCACATGGCCAACTGATCTTTGAGTTTTGACAGAGGTGAGGGATTTGACATAACATAAAGGGACAGGCCAACAGGCCATGACAGGCCACATATTGCGCTATTCATTCTTTGAATGCCGATACCTGCTCGTATGGCTCGTGCACTTTTGGGTAGTCGCCTGCTTTCAATGCTGAGGTAGAGCGCGAACATGTGATCAATGCCAGGCCTACACAGTGATTGCAACCTTTGCTCCCTCGCCCTTTCGGGGCTATCCGCCAATAGGCAACAAGGAAGCCTCTTGGCTGATACAGCTGTTTGCTTAAAGTTGTGCCCAAGTTGCCGGCATGACATAGGCATGGCTTCCTGGAGACTGCATTTAGACGGGGGAAAGCAGATTTTCAGCACGCAGGCGTGGCTTAGGTACGAGTTCCGTGCTTTCCTGTATACATGATAATGATTGATAATGTGATATAATGTGTAGAGGTGACCAACCCCGAATGGGGCATGGGCACCAGCGCCTTTTCTTGAAAAACAAGCCGCGACAGGTGCCGCGACAGTTGCACCATTTGGGCACTTTTCCATACTTCCATTGATGGGATCACTTCACTTGTCGCAAAGTGGTGTACTTTTACTTGTCTCTGCGTGGCTCAAAAACCAGCTGAAGGTAACATGCTGAGGTCATGGGTCATTGGTCATGGAATGCGCTACTTCGGAAACGGAGATATGTTTTTGATTGTTTTTGGAGGTTTTGGGCTTTCCTTTGACTTTTTTCAATTCAGGAAACAGATGGGAGGGAGGTTGCTTTTCAACCGATTCTTTGATCAGAAGGTATGCACATGAGAATCTAGAATAGGAGCTCTTGCCATGGGTGACCAGTCCTCCGTCAACAGCACCTTGTGACTTGAGCCAAATTCCATGATGATTCTTTCAGTCCAAGTCTGGTTTGAGCTTGAGACTCCCAGAAAACAGCCCACTCAACAGGCCTTAGGATTTCGTATTTGGATACTTCCTATTCCTAAGGGGAAAAAAGTTCTGAGCGAACCAGTGACTGGAGCATCGGTTTGAAGGTCAAGGTGGAGCTGTTTCAAGGGTAGAAGGGTGCTGCTCAACCCTGGCTGCATCTTGAGGCTAAGTCAGCTGAACGACGTTGTTCAGCGCTTGGGCCCAGTACCAGAGGTGGCTGAAAGACTAGCTTTGGAGGCCGTCCTCCTTTTGCCACATTCTGAGTCTGATCAAGGCAGTGCCTATTTTTCCACATGTTTTTCACATTTTTGGCCAGGTAAGGGTGGATTTTTATGGTGATGTGATATGGATAGAAGATCCCTCAATTTGCAAAGTCGGATCGGGACAAAGGCCGACTATGCATGTGCACTGGGTCCCAGGAACACAGGGTTAGAATCTGTCAAGATGCAATGCAACGATATCCCAAGGCAGTTTCAACAGTTTGGGTTCTCCATGCAGTGGTGGATAGACTCGATAGACTCCCTACAATTCGAAGGTCGCAGGCGAGCGCTTTGTGCTTGCAGCTTCTCCAAGTGCCTCAAGCTGCCGGGTGGTTCGTCAAGAGCTCAGCAACAACAACAACAGCAGCAGCAGCAACAACAACAACAACAACAACCACAACAACAACCACAACAACAATCACAACAACCACAACCACAAATTGATTCAGTGGCTCACAGGGGGGGCAGAGGGTGAATAGCCCAACCCATCTTTTAAATCAACAGTATCTGCCAACACACCTAGCAGCAGTTGATGAAAGTTAACATGCATCACTTCAAGGCCTCAAACCCTCTAGAGATTATGTATCCAGGTCAGCCAGAAGGACAAGAGAGCGACTGCACTGTGGTCATCCGTTCTGCCTCAGCAACTTGGCAAATCTCAGCTAGCAGATCTAGCACCTCTTCCGACTTTCGAACTGTTGACTACATGTTGGCGTTCCAGTCTCAGCCCGAAGTCCACAAGTCCATGGCACTGTGAGGATTGTTGGGCTCTGGCACATGGCCACATCTCCCCACAACAAGCCTATGCGCAAGGACGACTCTCTGTGCGAGGCCTGGAGATAGTTGAGGAGAACCATAGAGAACCCAATTCCAGACATACAACTTCTGCATAGGTTTGGTGGATCATGGTGGATCATGGTGGATCCTTTGCGTTGATGGGGCCAGTCTGACAGGAAATCTTTCTGCCTTGATGCAGCTTCGGCCCTTCGTTGCCGAGATGCGCGCCAAAGTCCCGGTGTCCGAGCTGCCAGGCACCAGGGATCCTGTTGCGATGGTAGGAACTCACCACCAGGGGCGGAGGTATCAGGGGACAGTGTCAAGATGTTTCAGGCAGTGCATCCCGTTTACATGTGTCAAATGTGGTAAAATCGTGCAGGTCCTCTGGTTATTTTTTTTCCCCTAAGAGGATTAAGAGGTGTGAATTGTTTGGTTTGAACGAATGACTTTTATCCCTGAAAGTTTGCATCCACGTGTAGACGTGCGAATTCTTGGGTCAACAGCCAGCATTAGCAGAATTGGTCACAACATAAAAGTGAGACAACACCAGGCTCTGCCTCACGTCCCAGATGTGACCCAGCCAGAATTTTTCATGGTCTACTTTTGGTCTGGAAGGGCTAGGCTGATGGATTCTTTGTCCGTGCGGTTGATACGTCTATTTTTCTTGCATCTGCCAGGCGTGGCCTGGCTGCCTGACACTGCCTCAGATTCGTGCATGGCCTGTGATGCGGTCTTCACTCTGATGAGGCTCATGTTCTGTTGGTCGGTTTCCACGGATGTGCCAACTAATAAAATCATGTTTTCTGCATGGAACTGGGGCTCTGTTAAACCACGTCATTATTTTTGTGCGTCTTCTTGTGTCCGTGCATGACACTGCCTAATTGGTGATTGAACTTCCCGAACAAGAAGTGCAAAGGTTCATCTACGGAACCTCAATAGACCTCCAGTTTTGTTGTTGATCATTGCTGAACATTCTAGTTGGGTAGCCTCAAAAATGGGATATACATAGGCCCAAAAATGGGTTCGCTTTAGTGTGAAACCATCCATTTGTGTGGCGAATAGTTTTCAATTATATTGACATTTTTTTGTACCAAATTCTGTTCGACCGTAGTTTTGAATATTAAAGCATCCATAGCCACGTTGTCGCTGAAGGCGCCGCCACCACTGCCGCAGCTGTGGCCGACTTTTCTGCGATCGCTGCAGCCCTTATCGTTCAGGTGGCCTGGGCCATGGGGGCCTACTTGGCGATGGGGTTACAGTATGGCTATATCATGTTATATATGTTATATCAATATCGTTATACTCCTAATATCCCCAAATATCCCTAAATATCTCCTAATATCTCCTAATCAAGTTAATGAGCTTACGAAGCAGATTACCATGTTTCATATAATTCACCCCGCTTCGCGTGGGGTGGCCGCCCACACCGCAGGTTTATTTCGGTCCGTCAGAGGGGCTAAGGGTGGTGTGGAATCCCCCCCGCTAGGGAATTTTCGCTTTTCCCCCCTGTGGGGGCTCCCCAAGCTAGGGAATTTTCACTTTTCCCCCCCGTGGGGGCTCCCCAAGCTAGGGAATTTTCACTTTTCCCCCCCGTGGGGGCTCCCCAAGCTATGGAATTTTCACTTTTCCCTCCCTTGGAGGCTCTCCAAGCTGCGGAATTTCAAATAGCTAGACAACGACGCCTAGATAGTCCCCCAAATCCCGTGTTCTTTGAATGTGTTTCCATGTTTTTGCAATGGTTTCCTTCAAAGCACGGTACTTTACACTTTTGTCGCCATAAAACCGGTCGAAAACATCATGTTCGACAATGCTTCCAATTCCCTTATCTCCCCAACCGTTGAAAATACCGCTATTTACAGTGTTTTCTTCAATTTTTCCATGTTCCAATGCCGGTAGCCAACTCCAACATATATATAAGAAATCCTTCCAAAACATTGTTTTTGACAGTGTTTTTCCAATGTTTCCAGTCAAACAGACGGTAATTTACACATTTTTTGCCATAAAGGCAGTAAATCCTTCCAAAACATTGCTTTTGACAGTGTTTTTGTAATGCTTCCAGTCAAGCATACGGTAATTTACACGTTTTTTGCTATAACGTCAGTCCAAAACACTTGTTTTTGCAGTGTTTTCAATGCTCTGGCATCCAAAAACACTGCAAAATCTTGCTATGTACCATGTTTTTTTCATTTTTGGCCGTTTTTCCATTGCCGGAAAGCTACCAAAATGACCCAAAATTCCATTTCAATACCCTCTTGCGATCAGACACCCAAAAATCCTCGAAAAATGTCGAAAACACCACCGAATTCTGGTCTCGGTGCGAAACCGTTTTTGGCCCCCCCCCAGCTAAAGCTGATATAGCGACTGCTATATTAACAAATGTGATTGAGCATTTAGTGTTGCTGTTTTGCCCCCCAATAAGCACGCCTTCACCGCCAAAGCGGTGTGGGCGGATTTTGCTCCTGAGTGATGTTTATGGGGTATGGCTTCGAACTTGCCATTTCAGACCCCATCGATACCTGGAAATGGGATGACATGGGCGTCATTGGATTGATCCCGGCTCTGAAAGATCTTGATGTCTGAGGCATTGAGGCCCGGCAGTGCGACCAGTGCCGGGCTGAAGCCGTTCGTCCACCACGAGAGGAACGGGGGGAACGGGGCACAAGATAAGTATCTCGGAGTCATGGAAACGAGACTGCTGCAAATATCAAGCATAGTCCAGGATAGTGGGAAAAATATTGAACGTAACTAGATACATGTCATTCCATGTTCATTGGCATCGTGATGTCCATGTCCACTGTATGGAGGACCACTCCTCTGCCATGCGGCTACTGGAGCAGCGACTTGAGGAGGTGGAGGCTGCAGCAGCACAGCGAGAGGCCGAGGAGCTGCTGGGCGTGGCGTGGCTTTTTCTATGTCTCTCAGCTGCTGCTGTTGTACTGCTGTTGGCAGCGTGCGGCTGGCAGCGAAGCCTTCTGGCCATTGCAGCATTTGCTGTGGTGATCAGGCGGGTGTCAAACTACAGTGGTTGAGCACTTTCTGAATCCAGCTGTGTGGCATCAGAAGTCCATTTGCGCATCAAAAATCACTGCTCCGCTTTGCCAACTTCACCAGGTTATTTATGTTCCGACAGCTGCGTGCCTTGTGGCTGTGTGTCGGGCGCCCAGCGGCTAGCTGCATCACCCAGGAGATACCGTACGATCCTGCAATCTCACTGTGCAAGTCTACGCGCCTTTGAGGTCCTGGTCCTGTGGAAATACATGCAGAGCACGTGGGAGGCGAAACGACTTTGCGAGGAGGATGCAAAGCGTTTCTTGAGTGCGAGGTACAGGCCATGGCCTTGCCGAGAGATCCAAGGGTTGGCAAACAGGATGTCAATGCGCTGCTGATTGACGTTGACCATTTCCGTTCCCCTGCAGCTGCACAGCTAAGTGATGATAGTGAGGAGCTTGCAATGCCTTGAACAGTGGTACTTTATGGTACTTTCCTAGTCCAAGATCGCTGCGAGCCAAATGTGGTTGGCTGCCCATTTTCTATTCCGTGACCAGCTGTGCAGCTTTTCCCAACTTCCTGCCATGAAATAGAAAGGTTCCAGTAGCTAATTTGACCTTCTGAGTCAGCTTGAAGTAGGCCTGAACAAACCTGCACTGGGAGATACAAGGAGAAGGGGATCCAACATGGCACTTCATTACCAGGGCATACCAGGGCCATCGATGGCCTAGGGTTGTCGCTGCCTTGCCGCTTCTTGTTGCAGGGTGCTGGCATTCCTTGGCGCTCGGGGCTTGAGACAACTTGGAGGAGTTTGGCCAAAGGTTGGGCAGTACATGAGCACCCAAGGCTACTTGGTTGGAAACCTTTGCTTGGGACTCACAACGGCATGTTTCAGTATCCTGAGGTCGGGGTTGAATTTCAATATGACACAATCATTAGAACTATAAAGAATTCTAAAGGTGCATAGGCACGTGCACATGTGGGCATATCGTGGTATCATATATACACTTATATATAAATCACATATATTTATATAGGCACATCATGTTTGTGTATTGCATCATCGTTGCACTTCAGGTGATAAGTGGCCGGATGAGGTCCTCGCGGAGCTCCGGAAGCTGCGCGACGCCATGCCGGCCGCGCCCTTCCACACCACGCGGAAGACCATCCAGGAGCGACAGAAGCGACAGATGGTAGTGGAAGATACAGGAAAAACATGGGGGAATCCCTATTTTCTATATGATTTTTGTATGTGTTTAATAAGTTTAATATGTTTATCATGTTTACCAATGGAAAAACATGAAATGTAGGGACTTGGGTTCCAGATGTCTTTCATTTGGTTGATTCATACTACCAGTTTTCATGGCTATTTATCCGATTTGATGATGAATATATATATATGCATATAGAACAGTTATAGGATATGCTAAAGGGAACTAGACGGTACTGCACACATGTATAAGCATGTGGAGTAGGCCTGACATGACGCCAAATATTTGGCTCAAGTCGCAAGGGAAAACGGTGTTTGCGCTGCTCAGCAATGCTGCCTGGATTCCGGCTACTAGGACGTTAGGGACTCCAACAACTACAACCAGATATCCGGGAACAAGGATTAAAATTGTTCACAGGTTATCAGCCGTAAGGGCTCACATCTTCCGTCGGAAGAGGAGTACCTGCGTGCTGGTAGCCGGGCCGTCAGAGCTTAAGATTGTGGACGCAAAGGACCAATCAGCTCATCATCGCAAAGATGCAGGGCGGCAGCGGGGACTCGCGCAACACGCAGTTTACCTTCAACGAGAACGCTGCTATGCCGGTCGAGGAGGTCACTCAATCTTCCCCTGGCGACACAGCAGTCAGTGGTGTGATACGCCCCACCCGAACTACACAGTCCGGATGGCAAGTTACATCAAACAGACGAAGAATGTCCACCCAAAGTACACCTAGATCTTCTCGAAACAGTGCTCGAAGTGATGTTGTCCGCCAAGGGCATCGACCATCTCGAGGACGAACTACCCCAAGGGACAGATCCACCAGGGCCGGAACCGACCGAATTGGTGAGAGGACCGGGGATACTCGCGTTAAGAGGAGATCAACGGATACTTCTGTGGCTAGTGAACCTATTGCCATCATAGAAGAACTACGGGCACAATGTCAATCCTTACGTAATCAGTTGAACAATATGGAAGCATATGCTGCATCAAGAGATCAACTGATTCATGACATCGAGATCAGATTCACTGAATATCTTCAGGAACAAAACCAGAATGTGTTTGATGAGGTCAATGCACTCAATCATAGATTGTCATGTTCCGCAAATGAGGTTGCAGAGTATCAAGCAGAACTAATGGTAGCATCTCAGGAAGACGAAGGTGCAACAATACGCATCCAAGACCTTGAACGCCGAGGTGCCCTGATGGAACACGGTGCAAGACGGATCCATCAACGCGGTATGGAGATCCAGGAAGAGTACAAGGATGAAGTACATCACCTTCAAGGACTATTGGGTAATACGGAGGCAAGACTGCAACAACTTCATCAGACCAATGTCTTAACTACCGATATTGCCAACCGATTGTACACTGAAGGTCAAGAAATGCAGACGGACTTCCAGAACTCAATCATGGAATATCGTAATCGATCCGAAATGGCATCCTTCTCAAGCAATCAACTTGAAATGATTAGCCAACAACAATCAATTGCAGTTCATGAATTGTCTGAACGGAATCAGCTATTGAGTGAAGCTCTAGTTCAGTCTCGTAAACAGGCCGAGTTGTATGAAACAGTATTGAAGAGATCACTAGAGAATCTAGAAAGAAGGTTTTCGAGGCAAATCAGGCCAAATTGGAAAGCGATCTGAAACACCGAAACACTGAACATGATACTGTCAGAAGAATTGCATCATACCGGAACAACGAGGCCGAAGCGATATCGCACCTGAGGCTTGAATCACAGGCTAGTGCAAATGCGATCGCGAGGGCAGAGCACTATGAAGAGCTCTACGCCAACGAGCAGGAGATGAACTGTGAATTGAAGGATGAGATCAGATTGCAGAACGTGAAGTTGCGAAGATCATCAACTCAGGGCACTACGATCGACGGTCGTGGCCCTGATGAGATGCTTGTTGAAGATCTACGGAACCAAGCCAAAATCGCTCAAATCAGGGTTCAGGATCTAGACCATGAAGTTCATGAATGTTTACAGGAGAACATGTTGTTAAAAGAAAGATTGACTGAAGTTGCGGATGTAGGGGCGTCGTCCTTCTCCAATGCTGAGGTCCGAGCTTTAAGATCTGAACTAGAAAGTGAGCGCAAAATGAAATTGGCTAGTGGTGTTCAGCAATATGAGAGATTATGCATGTTCATGGGGGAAATTCAGGATAGGGATGAAAAGATTGGTATCAAGAATTCTGAGATTATTGACATGAAACGTCGCATAGACGAACTGAGAAAGAGTCTCAAGGATTCTGAAACATCTATGTCCAGGGTCAACCCTGATACGCTTCCCTATTCGGCAGGTATCCCCAACTATGATCTCGCATCAAGACTGGTCACTGATAGACTGGAGAATGAGGTGAGTGAGGCTAACTCCGAGAACTCTGTCCTGAAATCATGGGTATCGCAGATCGACAAGGAGTTGACCTACGAGACTAATGCTGCTCTCTACTATCACGGGCATGCTGGACCATCTCAAAATCAACCATCTCAATCGAACAAAAGGATCACCGACCTGCTGAAAGAAGTTGACAACAAGATCGCCGATGGAACCGAGAAGGACTACTACAAGCCTCCGGGCGGAAGGGGTGGCCCACCTGACCCTGATGGGCCTCCTGACCCTTTTGGACCTGATGGTCCAGGACCACCTCCAGAACCTCCTGGCTTGCCTTCTGTGCGGGGATCACAACGCGATTCAGCAGATGATATCTCCACTGCGGCGTACACGGCAGAAGAAGTACCGAGAATGTCGAGACGGGAGGCTGACAAAGTCTATGTTAGCCCATGGCCGAAGCAACAGAACCTTGGGGTTTGGCAGTCAGATCTCATCAAGGGTGTTGTTCTTGCCGCGAATGATGGAGACAAAGCTGCATGGGAAGCATGGCTACAGCCGGCTATTCGACCAAATCCTGACATCGAGCTACTGAATGACAGTGGTGGGCAACGATATCAGTCAATCGACGCCAAGTTGTCAATCGCATTGTCGAACGTGATAGCCCAAGCCGGTGATGTTGCTCGTCATGTAGCAATTAAACTAAGATTGAGAACACAGAGTCATAGTCGAAGAGGAACCTATGTTATGGGACGAGAAAATTTGGCTATGATTCTGGAACACTTCAGGACACCAGGTCAACGAGAGACAGCCTTCACCATGGAGCACATCGTATCGATGAAGTATCTCGGTGACTCCAACCTGGAAGTGTTCTACGAGAAGTGGATGGAGATGGTGTCAAATATGATGCCGGATGATGTACCTCCTGATGATTGGCTTCGTGACGCTCTATACAAGAAGATTCGAAATTCGAGTCTCATGATGTTCGACATCAAGCAGTACGAGTCATGGATCGAAGGGGATCAAAGACGAAGCTATCGTTACCTGCTGGACGTCATCGAGAGGCACATATCCAGGATCAGAGAAGACAAGCATGTGGCCGCTAGGGAGAAGTACGCAAGGGATTTCGCAGGTGGTGGCAAGCCCACCACTCCTGCACCAAATCCAACTGCTGCTGCACCAGATGCCAATCCGAAGGCGAAGGCTAAAGCCAATCCCAAGGAGAAGGCAGCACCTAAGGCGAAGGCCAAGGCTGAGGCAGCTCCAGTTCTACCATCACCTCAACCAAAACAGCATGCAAAAGGAAAAGGGAAAGGTCAAGGGAAAGGAAACGGACGGTCAAACAGCCGAAGTGCTAGTCCTAGATCCAAGAAGAAGATCCCATGTCATTTCCATTTCATCAAGAAAGCATGCAGAAAAGGCAAAGATTGTGAATACAGTCACGACCAAAAGGTGTTTGATGCGAACAAGAACACGAAAGGTAATGGTCGAAAACCAGGAACTCCGAGAAGTCAATCTCCAGCAAACAAGACCAAGAAGATTGATGAACCATGCTGGCACTGGGCCAAGGGCAAGTGCCGATACGGAGACAAATGCAACAAACGTCACGATCCTCATCTCTTCAATACTGCTCCAAACACCGAAGCACCAAGCTCAAAGGCTACTCCTGCACTTGTCCATGAATGGAGTGATGACGAGGGTACATTTCACAAGGTTGCATCGAACGTCGTCAAGAAGAAAGTACGATTTGACGAGTCTAAGACTTGCATTCAGAAGTACGTGAAGAAGGACTTCGTGAAGTGCAGCCGGAAATCCCAGACCATCCCCAAAGGTCATGGTAAAGTCGGCAAGCCCACCGATCAGATAAGGCAAGATGAGCAATGGTCTTATTCATGCAGACTAGCATCGAGCCGAGGGAAGGCAATGGCTATCCTGATCGATGAGAAGGGCGGGTACAGTGACATTGATGAAGTCCTAGTCATCGTCGGCCCCAGTCTTGACATTCTGATCAGGTTCGACATCGAGGACGGTGAGGTATCCAAGGAGGTCTTCGTGGAGAACTATGTTCAACATGTCGAGGGTCGATATGGCAAAAGGGGTAACACGATGTGTATCACTGTTCCTGTTGAAGAAAGAGATAAGAGATTCATATTGGATTCTGGAAGTGGTCATGATCTTATCTCATCCACACGAATAAGTAGAATGGATCTCCCAACATATGATGATAAAGTCGTCAACTTCCATACAGCAAACGGGGTAACATGTTCGACCAAACGATCAAGTATCAAGTTCGAGGCATTCAACGAACCAGCAGAAGCTCACATCCTGGAAGACACGCCTTCCGTAATCTCCATGGGCAAGCGGTGCGTTGACCTTGGCTATTCGTTCGTATGGCCGACTGGGAAAACTCCTTTCATGTTAGATCCCAACGGCAACATCATCGAAATGACTGTCAAAGACTACATTCCTTATGTGAGTGTCGATCAAGAGAAGAGAAAGCTAAAATCATCCTGCGTGGAAAAGATCATGGCAGTTCTTAATGATGAGTGCTCAACGTCAGAAGGCGAAAGTCTTTTGGTTATTGATGGAGAGAGTGGGGATGAGCTTGAGGATCTTTCCGACGCCGTTGGA